CCCCCCCCCCCCCCCCCCCAAACCTTACTCCCCCCCCCCATATAGACAAACCAAAGCCCAATTATTATTATACACAATATACACAGCCTTATTTTGATACAAGTGTGTACCATGGGTACAGGTAGTGTACTAGGGGTACAGGTAATACTTGAATCTAATATCAATATTGAACGTATAAACTTATATAACTGTACACGTTATATACAGGTAAATATGTGCATGGAAAACTGGTAATATCTAAGCATCAAACAGGTGGATCAGCTTGATCACTTACATGTGTCACTGAGTCACTAGTCTCCACCCTCCCCTTTTGCAACCAACACACACACACACACTGCACATCTTTATCTTCAAATCCAAACTCAAGATTTGCATGCATGGTGTGACGCTGCGACCAGGTCAACTACGACTGAGGATCAAACTGTGAAATGGCGATAGTTGATGGCGTAATGGCAACTGATGATGGCATAATGACATTAGTTGATGGCATAATGACATACGTTTTTGTCACAATTACAATAATTGATGTTACAATGACAATAGTTTATGGCATAATTTTTTGGCAAGGTAACTGTACAAAATGTGTTGGGATTTAAAAAAAAACAAACCAACAACATCATTTCTCTAATTTTGATATTGGAATACTTGACAAATGAATTTTAAAAAATATTCAGTCATGAAATGTATTTGCCATTCACACAAGAAATTAATTCACTTGATAAATATTTTTAAAACCATAATATTTTAATAAACAATTTAATAAACAACAAAATAGTTGATACTTTATTTTCGAGAGATTATAACATTTAGTACAAAGGTACACAAGTATTTATTATAATTCAATAACATTAGAGTAGTCACATGATTGCACTTCTGATTGCACTTCATGCACGCAATTGTTTCTAGTGTTTAATACTTCTAGAATAGAATTTAAAAAAGTCATAGTCACTCGACATCCTCATAATACTTGGGGAACTTGGTTATTTATATCATAGGCACCAGTGACAAGAAGCAAGATACGTCTTTTGAAATGGTAAGCCCTTTACAAGAGCATTTATCGTTTGCTGTTCTTCAGTACCAGTACCAACATTTGGGTATTCAAGGCAACGTGTACACCGCCGTACATACCAGCTAAATATTTTCATTACAGTGACACGCACAGCGAGTTAGGCTCTTGTTGGTCAAACTACAGCGAGTTAGGCTCTTGTTGGTCAAACTACAGCGAGTTAGGCTCTTGTTGGTCAAACTACAGCGAGTTAGGCTCTTGTTGGTCAAACTACAGCGAGTAAGGCTCTTGTTGGTCAAACTACAGCGAGTTAGGCTCTTGTTGGTCAAACTATGAAAACACATCCAGTAACACGAGAGTAAGGATTTAATGCTCTAGCTTTGCTGGTAAAAAATGTAAATTACTTAAAAAGCAAGTAACTCGGCCACACACACAAGGCTGTTTGCTCTCTTCCGGCTGAAAACGGTTCAAAGGTCACAGTATAATATCCTATGCACTCATTGGCTGGAAATGTTATCCGTGCTTGGCTGTAGAAGTGGGCATGTCTCATCTTTGTCTATTTATAGGCAAGAGATGACCCCCCCCCCCACACCCCAATGTTGTCTACGAGCCCAAGTGAACGCAAACGCATGGAACTCAATTTATCCTTAGAACTTGCTGCCCATTTCTAGGTTAGAACTTGCTGTCCGTTTCTATGAAGCTTTTGAAGTGACCCTTTCTTCTGTCTGTTTTGGGTAGGTTGGGGGCGTTGTCCACCTTTTCACTGAGTGCGTTCTGTGCACGTTTTGACAACGTACGCTCCTGTGGGGACAACAGAGTGAGGGAAAACCGAATATTAAATGGGAGTAGCTTTAACGTCAAGTTCATTTCTAGTATTTCAAATATGTGAATATTAAAATAGAAAAATATTTAAAAAAATAAAAAAAAATAAAAAAATAAAATTAACAAGACTTGTTGAAAAAATGCTGGCAGCGTATCTTAAAAACATTTAATGAAGATTAAAACTATTTGTCTTGAAAGCTTGACAGCCGTACTCAAAAGCCATAAACGTTAAACATGCAAACTATATGATAATTAAAAATGACAAAAGACAAATGTAAACAACTTTGTCGGAGGAGGAGTTAATAAATAAAAATGGTTGTAGACTTCATTCGATTACTTCATTCCTTAAAATTTAAAACAGATACAATTTCTCAGACTGACACACACACACAGCTAAATGATACAACTCTTACCATTGGTCTGTCTCTCTCCTTGAAGACCCTAGCTTTGCTTTTCTTGGTGGTCTGTGGTGACGGCTTCTCTTCATCACTGTAGCTGCCGCTGTCTCTCTCCGGGGAGTCGCCACTGATCATTTTCTTCTCTGGTGAAGCACGAGAACAACTCAGATAAGTACATTGAATGAATAGGTTTAGAGAAAGAAAATAAGTATGGTTGCCATGTCATACCATTGCTGTCTCATACCACTGCTGTCTCATACCACTGCTGTCTCCTATCATTCACATCACAAACCGTTATCAAAGCATACAATTGTCATCACATACCACTGCCAAAACATACCATTTCTGTGTCCTACCACTGCCATCACATACTATTGTCATCACATACCATTGCCATAACATACCATTGCCATCACATACTATTGTCATCACATAGCATTGTCGACACATACCATTGCCATCTTATACCATCACCATCTCATACCATCACCATCTCATAGCATTGCCATCTCATACCATCGCTATCTCATACCTTTGCCATCACATACCATTGCCAACACATACAATTGCCTTCTCATTTATACAATTGACTTCTATTATGGCCTACTATTAGCAACTCACCCATCTTCAACCCTCGGACTTTCAATTGGATCATATAAAATACACACACACAATGTCTATCAAGATACTTACTCCTGGAACCTCCAGAAACAGATTCAGTTGCACTTCGAGAACTTTTTGTGCTTCTATTGCTGTTGGATTTCTTGAGAGTGGGCGTGCTGCCATCGTCTTCACTGAATGATTTCTTCATTCTAACTTTGCCGAAGAATGACAAAATTTTGTTCTTTACAGCTGCACGGTTCTTTGTATCAGAGTTCTGGGGACAGAAGAAATGAATGTATAAGCATTGTGTTAGAATATCTAGGGAGATAAGAGACGACTGTATACGTGTTGTGTTAGAATATCTAGGGAGATAAGAGACGACTGTAGACGTGTTGTGTTAGAATATCTAGGGGGATACGAGATATATGTATAAGTGTTGTGTTAGAATATCTAGGGAGATAAGAGATATCTGTATAAGTGTTGTGTTAGAATATCTAGGGAGATAAGAGATGACTGCATAAGTTTTGTGTTAGAATATCTAGGGAGATAAGAGATATCTGTATAAGTTTTGTGTTAGAATATCTAGGGAGATAAGAGATGACTGTAAAAGTTTTGTGTTAGAATATCTAGTATTTAAATGAAAGTGACGTCAAGTAGGCATTTGAATCACGACACATGCTAATGTAGTACTTTGCTGGTACTCACATGAGAAATGTAATAATTTGGATCATCACAGTTGCTGCTTACTGAGGTCCGCCTCGGTGAATCCTGCTTGTAATCAAATGCAGCTGTTTGACTGGACACAGGGCCGAAGTGTTCTATGGGGATACGGCCGGGGGCAGATGCTGACCTGACAATGTCCAAAGCAAACAAATATTTTAGTTATTGTTGGTTCTTATTTCATTCAGATTGATCATTTTATTATGTATTTATTGACTTCATTATGTTTAGAAGCAACAATGTTTTTCTGGGTCCATCAGAGGTACCGATATACCTTGAGCAATGGAGGCAGTTACATTTGTACAAGCACTGCTATCTATGCAGTGGCTCATATGCTTCATTGCTACAGATTTGTCTGCCAAGAAACTTCACACACACAGACCACTCAAGTCATCTTTAACAGTGTTATTTTGTTGGTGGTAATAATAAAACATATTTAACAATAATTTTATTGTAAAACTATAAAATATATATAGAGAGAGATTCACTCCACTTCAAGATAGAGAAAGACAACTGACAGTGAATGACAGAGCGTGGGAGAGAAATGAGATGAGATGTGAGACGAGATATGAGATGAAATATGAGAAGAGATGTGAGATGTGATAAGAGATGAGTGTGAATTGTGAAAAAAAAGAGTCAAAGCATGAAGTAAGCATTTTACTAGTCTGTCATGTGTATGTCTTTGTGTATTTCTATGTCTGTGTATGTTTATGTTTATGTCATGTGTTGGTCTTTGTAGGCCTATATGTTTATGTGTTTGTTGTGTATGTCTTTGTGCAAGTTATTTAAGTCTAAGTGTGACATAATATGACATTGATAGTACACAATTTCAGTAATTTTTCACTTACCAATCTTGCAAGTTCTTGAGGGCATTGCCAGATAGTGTCTGAGAGCTGGCCACGATGTCCTCCTGGCGGACTCCCAAAACTTTGCACGCCTTCCCGAGAACAGGACTTCCTGTTTCAGTTGGGACTTGAGTTTCATGGGCATGCTGGCTTGAGTCAGATGGCTTAAGGTGGAGAAATAGAAGCATGAGTGTTAGGAAAAATGTGAGACACAGTTCATCTCTACTTGAAATGTTTAGCTTTCATTTCAACTTACAACTTAAACTATCTATGAAAAACACATCAAATTTTGTTGGTCTTGTGTCCATTAATTGCATTTCTGGATTAAATTAACCTTAACTCACCAATGCTGGAGATCTAACGTCTAAATCAGAAATATTTGTGTAGGAATTGCTGCTGCCAAACACACTATCACTGTAGTCTGACTGTGGGGACATAAGCTCTGAGTCTGACTTCATGGATTGTTGATCTGTTTTAGGAAACAAGATTTTAAATGTTTACTTTCATCCGGTGATTAAAACGTTTTTAGGCCCATTTATTTATTCATTAATTCATATTAAAAATTAAAAAAAAAGTTATTAGATGTTTAAAATTTTCATTATTACGTGAGATTGCTTTGAATTGGAGCATATTTTTAAAAGCTGCATCCATTTTAGTTTTATTCTAAAATAATAGCATACCAATTAATTGATTGAATAAATGGCGCAAAATTAGAGACATGTATTATATAAATATAATAATAATAATAAATAACAATTGTGTTGAACAATTTTTTAAACGAACGTCATCCCTAACTCGGTATAGGACTTAAATATTTGGAATTAGATTCTATGGAAGAAAATTATTGTTAAATAACCTATTACAATAACTTATTTGTATAGTAATAGAAATATTAATGTACATTAACATGCATTATGCGTGGATGATATAAAAAAACAAAACAAAACAAACCCATGCACCAAAGAAATTTAAAATATCGAACTTAAAGGAAAAAAAAACAACAAAACAATTACAACAGATAATTTAATTAAAAAAAAAAAAAAAAAAAAAAAAAAAAAAAAAAAAAAAAAAAAAAAAAAAAAAAAAAAAAAAAAAAAAAAAAAAAAAAAAAAAAAAAAAAAAAAAAACAACAAAAAAAAAAAATAAAAAAAAAAAAAAAAAAAAAAAAAAAAAAAAAAAAAAAAAAAAAAAAAAAAAAATAAAAAAAAAAAAAAAAAAAAAAAAAAAAAAAAAAAAAAAAAAAAACTAGAAATGCAATAAAGGCCATATTCAAAACCCGAATAAATTATGTATAATGAAAATATTTTAATGTTCGAATAAAGTAATATAACCCTAAACTGAAATACCGAGTCTTAACTGGAGGTTCGGTTTTTTAAAATGTCCATAAATTTGACAAAGAAATTGTTATCAAAAACTTTACTAAAATTTTAACCTAAAAAAAAAAAAGGAGGGAAAATGGGAATAATTTTTACATGCAGTTATAAATAATTTAAACAAATAAAAAAAAATGTAGGGAATAATAAAAACCCAACCCAATAAACTCACTCTTAAGTTGTGAGTTTAATTTCTTGCTCCCCAACGATGTGTCAGATCTGGCACGGTGTTTACGGAGCAAGCGGTCTGAAGTAAGCAAAGGGACAAAACCATGAAAAGCACAGTTCCCGTATTATATTTTTGTAATAGCTTCCCTTGCAACATTCGCATTTTCCCCCCCTCTTCAATTGCAGATCACTGCCGGACGCCACACACATATAATACACAGGTGCTTCTAAATGTTCAGTATTTTTTTTTCCCCATGAGAAATACGTGAATATGATTGAAACAGAGTCTGAGCTTAAGATGAACATAAACATTTGGGTCTCGTTCAATTAAGTTAAATGAAACTTTAAACTAATAGATACAGGGAATTGATATACTACGGCATTTTTAATTTGTGATTATTTTCTTACTGAAAGATCTTATGAATAATTATAGTTCCGGTTAGATGAAGTGGTAGACACGAGCAAACACAACCAACAAACAAAACAAGACTGCGCGAGGCGAGCACAAACCTAACAATGTACGCTTGAAGATGTTAAGATTCGCCATGGGCACGTAGTCGCTTGTCACGGCCACGGCTGGCTGATTGTAGTAGCCCGGTGACCTCGTGCTGTGGTGTTTAGGCTTGGTGGCCGGCACAGGTAGGATGGGTTCAGGGGGCACGTACAAACTCTCATCGCACATACCTGTTTTTGTTTTTTTTATGGTTTTTTTAAGGGGGGGGGGGTAAACAAACAAACACCAAAACAAACAAGTTAGTGGGTTATTTTGATGCATATAATATATGAGAGTACTTCCCAGAGTACCATGTTCTGGACAAGGTTTTAGTATTGATGCTATAAGAATGCGAAAAGCTAGTCAATGGAGATAATGATTAAATTCACCAAATACCAAGCAGATCAAGCATTGTCTTGGCTATGATCACAGTGGATAAGCAATAGTTTCTTGACTATGATCACAATGGATAAGCAATAGTTTTAGGCGGGATAAAGGGGTTGGGGGACTGGGGTCCAGTGAAGAATCTGGAAGCCTTGCCCATTTCATGTAATTCAGGCAATGAAGCGTGGCCTAAGCCTGGCTTAGCGGGAGAAAGTTAGAAAAATGTATTCAAGCAATTTCTTGATAAAATACTCGGTTATGTGTATCTAGATTTGTAATCTGCATATTGACTAATCTTAAATTAACAGCCTACTTAATTCACAGTATTTGAGTAAATGGTTTCAAGTACTTCATAGTGCATTACGCACAAAGGGTTTAAGTATTTCATAGTGCATTACGCACAAAGGGTTTAAGTACTTCATAGTGCATTGCGCACAAAGGGTTTAAGTACTTCATAGTGCATTGCGCACAAAGGGTTTAAGTACTTCATAGTGCATTACGCACAAAGGGTTTAAGTACTTCATAGTACATTACGCACAAAGGGTTTAAGTACTTCATAGTGCATTACGCACAAAGGGTTTAAGTACTTCATAGTGCATTACGCACAAAGTGATTTTTTTTACATGCCTCAAACTAACACAGAGAAGTCCATAGCACGATGTTAGTCAATCCATTAGTTACAGAGAAAGTCGTATCCAAGGATTCCAAAATGAACAACGTCATTTTATCCCAAATGATGTCACCGGTCTATTTTTAGAAATTTTCCTTCTACCACATCAATGATCAGTGCCGTTCTACAAGATAGAGAGGGGCGACCGTGTAGGTCAACTTATGAAATTACAAGATAGAGGGGACCATCATTGATATCAACTTACTCATCAAAAGTTGTCGGTTTCAAATAGTGTTAATCTTACATTTAACAATCATCAATTTAACGATCATCAATGTCACCCATCATCTATTCAACATTCAGCGATGATCGAGGCCAAAATAATGTTGACCACTATGCGAAGACAAGTTAGAAAAGCCCGTCTCAATGCTTATAGATTTTCATTATGCCAGGCAGACAGCGGGAGTATTGGATGATAAGGTCAACATTCATACTGGGGGTTTGGAGGTTATTGCATACCTTTATGTTGCTCGACAAAGTGGATGAGGTCTTGTTCCAGGTTGGTGTAGCCTTTCCTGGCCGCTATCTGACACGGGAACAGGCCGTCCACGTTTTCAGTGCAGGCTGCACCCAGCATGCCAGGGTAGTGCAGGAGCTCCGAACAGAAAGCTCGCAGGTTCAAATCTGCCGCAAAGTGAAGCAGGCTGGGATACTTCATTTTGGAAGTTTCGTCTGAAAGATGAAAAGAGACATTTTAAAAAAAAAAAAAATTTGAAACATCTTCTGTTTTAGCTTTTAAATAAAAAAAATTGTTTAAAATAAGCATTCCCAAAGAAATGTCACCGGACGATAAGTAGTATGTTGATGCTGATCTTTGAGAAAGTTACGAATGAAATTCTCGCCTGTGTCGTGTATGGGAGTTCATTAATAATTGTTGCGAATGAATATTGTGTTTCCTTACGCGCGGTGTGTTAGAGAGTTTTAATTAGTTAGTGAACGCTCTTCCCGCGCTTGACTTGGTGACGTATTGTTATGCTCCCTTGTGACGCATTGTCCAGTCTGAATTGTGACGCACGTTTTATTCGTCTGGCAGTCGTGAATGGAACTTGTGGAAGTAGAATGCGTTTTTATTTCTGTCTGTATAGCGAGCTGCGCTTTATGCAAATTAAAGTGGCAAACTCTCGACACCACGTGTTCGCCTTGAGACTTACGGAAAGCGCACTTTCGCATTTGCTGGTCCAACAATTTGGAACGCCCTTCCTGTCGATCTCAGAAATAACCAGACACTGGAGTCCTTTAAAACCGATTTAAAGACACATCTATTTAGCAAACACCTTGTGGGATGATTGTCTACCTTATTTTCCAGTTAATGCATAATGGCTGTGTTGCTTAGGGTTGAAATGGTTAGAAAGACTTTGAGATTGTATGCTTGTAATTAGTTTTTGTAGTGTTGCGTTTGTTTTAAATGTGGTAAATTATAGATTTGTTTTTTGTTGACTTTGTACCGCGTTTCGAGCCTTTGGGGATGAAGCGTGTTTTTGTAATGAACTTTATTATTATTATTATACAATTAGGCATTAAAGTATTGGTGATAAAGGCCTTGAGTTCGTTCAATACTAGTACGACGCATTACAACGTGTGAAAGACCCTGACAAATCAACCTATCTAGTAGAACAATGAGTTGACTGCGTGCATATTTTGCTCTCGTTCAGAAGCCGACCTGGAGATCCTTGTATTAATCATAATGAGCTCATGCATTACTCACCCGGCGTCGTACTGTTCAGGGCGTCCTCACAGGGGAACATCAACTTAAACGTCGAAGCTGGCGCCAGCTGTTGGAGTTTAAATGCCAGGGTCGTGTCCAGTCCACCGATGTCATCGGGCCTCAGGTTGAGAGCTGATGTCAGCAGGGTGAGGGGATCTGTCAGATGTGTGAGCAGGGCGCCGAGCTGACCGATCTTGGTGTACACCATCACCGTCTCTTCCCCAAAACAGTTTGCCTTGCACTCGATTCTGAACTTGACTGGACCACTGATATCATCTGGTGAGAATAAAAGAACACTTTTTAAACACAAAGTCATCAACTTTGTCAAAACATAAACATCGCGAAACCCCTCTTCATAAATAGGAGTCAGAATGGTCAATGCATTGATCGTGGGCCTTTAAGATATGGACGAAGAAGAAACTGATTTAAAAAAAAAAATAGATTCAATGTATCCGATAAAAATATACTTCTCGCACACTCGTTTCCTTGAAAAAAAAATAAAAAAAATCAAGGTTTGACTTGCAGGCTGTGAGTAAATTCAGGAGGTCAAGAGTGTCTGTATGATTCATAGCCTGTTAGTGTTTTGATAGATCAGGCGATTGAAAGTTTTAACTTTCGATTTGAAACTCAGAATTACATTACAGTTATTTTTGTGTGTGTCTCTGCCATAGAGATGGTTTTAGCATCACATTGAATGTAAATATGATCTGCAGAATTAAGTATACAGGATTTTACATTTTATCATGTAAACAACTTTATACTTAGTAAATATTTTTTTATATATATAAAAAAAGCTAAAACTGCGATTGAACGATCACGGAGTCTGTAGCCCACAACTATAGTGATTCAGAGAGCGATCTAGGTCACATGTAGCCCACAACTATAGTGATTCAGAGAGCGATCTAGGTCACATTTAACTCTACGGTCCAGGCAGTTGGCCCGAGATGCACTTACTTAAGTTTTCTTTTAATGATACATCCTTATTTTTTTTGACATGTTTACCGAAATAACAGGCATTGCCCCCCCCCCCCCCCCCCCCCAAACCAGACACCTACTCTCGATAGTCCTACAGGTAAGGGGTAACAAATGATGCACTTTGTCCTTAGTGTCAACAACTCGTTCACACCCGAGAGACAGCAGCTTTCGGCCATTAGAGACCGATTGCTACACAGACCCTTAACAGAGCATTTTTATTTGGTTTACCATTGAATTGCTTCATATGTTCTGTCCATGTCATCGCATAGAGCGTAAAAGTTGTTTACTAGTTAAACTGTTATAGTGTCAAGCGGACAGATTTATAGGCCTGTCAACATGAAACATTGTCGCCAAGTCAATGGATGGAGTCATGTGCAATGTCTCTGACAACTGAGCATCAAGACAAGATGGAGTTCTGTGCAGTGCCACTGACAACTGAGCATCAAGACAAGATGGAGTCCTGTGCAATGCCACTGACAACTGAGCATCAAGACAAGATGGAGTCCTGTGCAATGCCACTGACAACTGAGCATCAAGACAAGATGGAGTCCTGTGCAATGTCTCTGACAACTGAGCGTCAAGACAAGATGGAGTCCTGTGCAGTGCCACTGACAACTGAGCGTCAAGACAAGGTGGAGTCCTGTGCAGTGCCACTGACAACTGAGCGTCAAGACAAGGGAATCCCCGCAGTGTTAGTTTTTCTTCTTCCTTTGAATTTTTTTTTCTTTGATTCTTCTGTTTTTAGGAGGGGGTTGTGGGAGAGGATGGTGGTGGGAGAGGGGGTGGGAGAAAGGCTGGGAGAAGGGGTGGGGGAGGGGTGACGCGGCAAAATGACATGTTATAGCAGAACCAAACTTATTTACATGTAAGAGTCACGGGGCATTCAATTATTCTAACAATATTTTTAGTTTGATTCGATGTTTCAGATTCGATCATACAACCATCATTATCATTATTAACCCAATCTTACACTCGATTCAGCTCAGTAAACACCAAAAGAAATGCGTCATTAATGATTATTGGATGCTCCCACCCCACTTTTAAAAAAAAAAATGTCCAATGAACTCTCATGACTGATGGACGCCAGGCATCGTCCTCACAGGCGCTCTGGCTCTGCCCCTACTTAAACGAGAGACGTAAGAAAAGGGTCACACCTACGTAAAGCGCTTATTTAAACCTGGACCAGACGAGGAAGATTAAAAAAAGGATCCAGATTACAAGGAACAAGGAAGTTCAACCTACACGTTTTGTTGATTCCTTCAAACGTGTATACCCATTTTTTTCTCTCTTGATCTTGTTATTTTTGGAGACATTTGGCAGACGACCAGTACATGGTTCCGGATGGTTAATTAAATGTAAATCACATATGTTTTAAGGTTTATATCAATGTAGGCCCAAAACAAGAAGAAAAAAAAGGGTAAATTTGTTATAAATGTGTAAATGTCGACAATTCCGTCATTGAATAGAGACGAACTTCAACCGTATGTCGAAAGGCGGAGACCCATATAGGAATGACTGTTCGAGCCACTTGAGAGGTAGCGAAATGTGGGGCTTCCTGATTGACTTTTTCCAAGTAGGTGAACGGACGAACCGATCGATCAATTCAATCTCCATTCATTGTGTTCTACGTGTGTTGAAATAATGAGTCGTCAGTGGAGACCTCAAAACTGTGAATATGATGATTGTTAAAACATTCTCACTAACGGAGGTCACAATGTTTGGCGCCACTGACACTGTTAGTCATTGGAGTGTCTAGAAATGTAAATTAGTGTGTGTCGCGTAGAGGAAAGAGATTGTGTGGTTGAGGAAGGACATTGTGTGGTTGAGGAAGGAGATTGTGTGGGTGAGGAAGGACATTGTGTGGTTGAGGAAGGAGATTGTGTGGTTGAGGAAGGAGATTGTGTGGGTGAGGAAGGACATTGTGTGGTTGAGGGAGGGGATTGTGTGGGTGAGGAAGGATATTGTGTGGTTGAGGGAGGAGATTGTGTGGTTGAGGGAGGAGATTGTGTGTTTGTTGGAGGAGATTGTGTGGTTGAGGAAGGAGATTGTGTGGTTGAGGAAGGAGATTGTGTGGGTGAGGAAGGACATTGTATGGTAGAGAAAGGAGATTGTATGGTAGAGAAAGGAGACTGTATGGTAGAGAAAGGAGATTGTATGGTAGAGAAAGGAGATTGTATGGTAGAGAAAGGAGATTGTATTGTAGAGAAAGGAGATTGTATGGTAAACGAAGGAGATTGTATGTAGAGAAAGGAAATTTCATGAAGATAGAGTAAATCAATTGAAAGGAAATGAACAGATTCGGTTTTAATGGAAGGATATCTTTTATCGTACCTTCTACTCGTTGAGAACCCCTGTTAATAATTAAACACGCCATCCGGCTGTTGCTCCATAATGTACTCCATGCACCCCGCAACCAGTTGAATATAGAGTTTTGAATTCACCCTTGATAGAAGGAGAAGGATGGACGAAGGCATGGATGGATGCATGTGTGTATGTATGTATGTAAAAAAGGATATGAGACATTACTGTGTATGCAGACAGGTCAGCTAATGGACCAGGTGACCATGGCTTTAGTTACTTACAAAGGATGTAAATGTTCAAAAGAAAAACAAACTAACCGGAACTAATCAAATCAAAACAGGAAGTAAATTGTTGGCTATGGAGAGGGAAAACAGAAAGGAACTTCCTGGTGGCTAGAACCAGATTGTATTATTTTTTTTTTCTTCTAAATTTACGGTAAGTCAATAAAACAACAAGACCCCATTCCAAGCATTGCCTATCACTTTGTTATTGTCACTTGAGAGGAAGTGAATACCGGCCAGCGATTGTCCAACACTCCCACCATGGGGATCAAAAGTTTGGACAAGATCATTATCATTTGTTTTGTTTTTGAACGTGGACAAAAAAAAGGGGGTGGGGGGTGGTGGTGCGGCGGCGTTAAGCGTGGCGTGGTGGAAGAGGGGGTGTCATTTGGAGTTCCGGAGTCATTTTTGTGTGTGGAAAGGTATCAACATTTCAAACCAGAGTTCAGGTTGGGGGCCCCTGGGCATAAGCACCTCATGCGAGGTTTTTGGTTGAGGGACGTTAGCCTTATATGGACCTCATGTCGTGCATTGACGTTGGGTAGACAAGGTATGCTATACATGGTCATTATTTGGCTGGAGATGTCTAAAGAAATCCATGGGAAAATATTACTATTTGTTGTTGTTGCTGTTGCTATGCGATCTTGTAGTAGGTCAACTGCTGGGTTGAAATCCTTGTGAACATTTCTTTAATTTCTCTAAGTCTTTTTTTTGTTTTTTTTGTTTTTGTTTAGAACTGACACGGTCATTGGGAACACCGCTGGTAATAAACAAGACGTTAAAACGAATGCCGTCTCACTGCTGTGATGAGACACGCGAAGAGACGCAGTTTAAGACCTGCAACGGTGACAAGACAAATTCTGCACACGTCCCGCGCCTGGCACACCGGTATGACCCACATTTGCCCGTGCAAACCGCAGTATACCCCCCCCCCCACCTCCACTTTTGACCTTTGTTTTCTGCAAAGGAACGTACAGCCCTAAAGATATACCTCAAAATGTCTGCTCGGCAGTTGTTTACATGCCAGTCTCACATGCCCAGTGTCATAAACTGTCTGTCTGGACGTCTTCTGTCTTGTTTCATTAGCCATGGTCAGTTCGAGTCTTCTGTCTTGTTTCATTAGTCATGGTCAGTTCGAGTCTTACGTCTTGCTTCATTAATCGTGGTCAGTTCAAGTCATCTGTCTTGCTTCATTAATCGTGGTCAGTTCATGTCATCTGTCTTGCTTCATTAGTCGAGGTCATTTCGAGTCTTCTGTCTGTATCATAAGTTCTGAAGAAAAAAATGAGTACAGTCCTTCTAAGGATGAGTACTGGTTAAATATGAATTAAGAGTCCCCGGAATCTTAGGGACAAACTCCGAGAGCCACTGCTCTGTGCTTATTTCAAAATTAATAAATGAAGCGATCCATATATTTTGATATTTAGTGTTCACAAGTCATATATATTCCCCTACTACGTTCAAGGATTTTTATGTGTTTAAATATGTTTAAAAACAAAACTTAAATAACTTTATTAGTCCATAAAGTCTCCGCTTTGACTGCTGTACACGTGTTCACCTATCGGCGGCTGCTGGTCAACGAGGTGTGACCGTACGAGTTTCACGAAGCCGACCAATGAAAAAATCGATCAACGCATTCATCGAAAGGTGGGGATCTCCCACCCTAGGACCAACGGCTTGCCAGACTTGGAACAGGCTGCTTCGGTCTGCTGAACCGACACGTTAACCGGACAGTGCTGCTTCGGTCTGCTGAACCGACACGTTAACCGGACCAGTGCACTGTTTAAAGAACCCGTCATTGCCAGTCTTACCCTTCAGAGAGCATTTTTTAAAAAAGTATTTTATTGTATGACATTTTTTACCTACCAGCACGTCATCAACTCAGGCCATAGGTGAAAGTGTAATTATAACAGTCCTCCATCCCCCCCCCCCGGCGGGCCATTCAATCAACCAGTTAACAAATCCTCAGGTTTACTTTTTTTTTTTTGTTTTTGAATCATTAACGCAGTGGACGGAGTACCTTGATTGAATGGCACCCAGGACAAAACGCCCAAAGTGTCCCCACCCCCCCACCCCCGTCTCACCCTTTATGTCATGCTATAATAAACTCTGAAAGTGCCTTACTTGTGTTTTAAACTGACCTAGTTTCACGGTGCGGCCCCGAGGCGGGGGTGGGGTAGGGTAGGGTGAGGCGGTCGGGTCACATTTGCTGGCCACCTCATGCTTTTTCTTCAAAATAAATAAAAGGACATAACCTTGTGGTTTTTTTTCTCTCACAATTTATCTCTGTTGTTTCACGGTATCCATTTCTGCGCTCCCCTGCTGCTTTATTCCTGTCGCCATTCTCTGCGTGGGTTTTGCTCCTTTCATTTACGCACAAAGATGGCGGCACGCGTCCAGTGTCCGAACTAACGACCTGTTCCCGTACATTACTTTCTGATCGCATAATGTTAAGAAAACACTTGTCATTCAGGTTCAGTCTTTTTCAAGGTGTTCAATGTGTTAATGAAACAAAGTGAAACAAACACAACAAAGACAAGCTTACACACAATAGAACACACGAACACACAATAGAACACACGCTTACACACAATAGAAGTAAAAGCTCAAAGACTAATTAGCAAGCGCTCCCTCATCAAGCCAAAATCCCAGGTCTCGGGTTGTAACAACATGTAGATAAAAAAGTCTTGTGTTGTCTACGCGTTAGACATGCTAACTCACTAGCTTGACCATCTGTTGACTGGACACTTAACGAGAGGAAGGAAAGCGTGCTTAAACCAACACACAGCACACACACAAACACATAAACACATGCACAGACATACACAGACACATGCACACACAAACACACACACATTAACAATTCATTATTTATGTTGTAAAAATGTGTCTTATTTTGAGTTTTGGTCAAAATAGTTTTCCTACAGTTGACCACAACAGCAACCATAACACCACCACCACAACAACAAGAACAACCACAACAACACCAACAAGAACAACCACAGCAACAATCACAATAACACCACAACCACCACCACCAGCAACCACAGCAACCAACAATATCCACAACAACACCACCAACAAATCTCACCAATATAAACAGCGTTACCATACAGCATTCAGATTTGAAAGCCTGGACAAATTATTTCGGTCCATGTATGACAACTTTGAACGGAAGAAAATCTGAACCTGTCTATCACAAACAGCATTGCCAGAGTGTGATGTCGATAGTCATTCGTAGACGGCACCAACATTTCATTTTTAATTGGTCCTCCCACAAGTTACGCACTAGAGAGAGTCCAACCGTGGGCCTCGTTATGTGTAACAAGAGGATGTCAAAACAAATATTGGACTGGACATGAAACATGGGAAATAAATCACGACAAATGAGATGTGGAAAGTGGGGTGGGGGGGGCACTCCATAGTGACATCTTTGTTTGAAACACCAAGGGAACTGTCACATCTCCTTGTCACTTGTCGTACCAGAGGGAGATCCCATGTTTTCATGACATTAGACCTTAGACCATGGCTAGAGTCGTGGTTTACATTTACATGTTTTACACATAAAATATTTTAGTTAACCGCATTATATATATATATGTATTGTTATTATGACTCTTTTGTCAATACATGTATATAAAAAGAAGTACTTTACAAAATCTGGGATTCCACGGGGTCAGTTTTAGTCAAGAAGACACGAATGTGAAAAAGGAGGGTTTGGGGGTGGGAGGTAATAAACAAAGACAGGTTTTAAAAGGACTTGAACTAGGACCAGGTGGACACAACCTGGCATACTAATGATGAATTTTTCTTCATCATTTCTCACGACAAAGTGTCTGCGTGCTGGCGATGAACAAACATGTGAGAAATATATTCACCACACTCGGCCACCCTCCCATAGTAAGCCTTCACATTGTTGTTCGATCTGCTAATACATGATATTGATAAGACGAATCCCAACATCGCCAACCAAACCCGGACAGGCTATTTACACTTCATTCTACGCCATGCACGCACCCCCCCTCCAGCGCCCCCACCCCATTTCAGCATCCGTTGAATGCACCTACGTGGGGGGGGGGGGGAATCCCTATCACATCCTGGTTTTTGTAAGGACTACCTAAATAAAAGCGGAACATTGGCCCTCGCTCGACATCTGTGCCACAGAAGGTTCCAGACAACAAAAAGAAAGAATTGCAGGCTAGGGTCACAAGTGTAATTTTTCAATTACTGCGTTTTTGCTCTAGCTCAGCGGTTCTCAACCTGTGGGTCGCGACCCCTTTGGGGGTCGCACGACCCTTTCATAGGGGTCGCCTAAGACCATCTGAAAACACATATATTCTACCGTTATAAAGTATCAACGAAAATAATTTTGTGGTTGGGGGTCACCACAACACGAGGAACACTATTAAAGGGTCGCGGCTTTAGAAAGGTTGAGAACCACTGCTCCAGCAGCTGAACCGAGTTTACGAGCAAAGCAAGGTCATGCTGCGGCTGAAGTAGACGTATCCACATACCGGGGCTCCTATGTGTTCACATACCGGGCTCCTATTTGTTCACATACCGGGGCTCCTATGTGTTCACATACCGGGGCTCCTATGTGTTCACATACCGGGGCTCCTACGAGGTGTACACGTTTCATGCAGACAAACCATGCACACGTCAATACAATTCTTTCATTGAAAAGGGGATTCCCCACCATATTCCGGGCGTCACAAATAATATTGTTCATTACTGAGAACTTTTCGAGCTGTTCACTGACATTTTGCTATTCTAGACATGAATTTCATTTGCTGCTGTGTTCGACGTCCGGAGAAAATTTCAATAACTTTTCGAAGTTTCGAACAGAATATTTTGAGGACTTCGGCCGTGAATTTAGAATAGCATGACTTGTCAGGTGACGGTGCAGACTTCCGTACACACTATCAGCGCAAGTTCAGGACATTGGGTAGTTGAACAAACGTGTCATTTTCGCTAACACTCAGCACCACGACAAATTAGATAAAAAAAATATTGTTAGAATGTGGTTGGGCGCTAGAACGCACTGAAAGCTTTGACACGATTGTATAGTTTCCCATCTGAGGCAAAGTTCTGTCCCAGTAATAAGACCTTGCACGTCACCATGTGACCTAATTCATCGTGACCCGTCCAAGGAGGCGGCTGGACGTAACGGCTGTCCCCTGTGAATAGACCAATCCCTCCCACACCGTAATGACCACTGGTCAGCGGCAGTGACATTGACAGAATAGTCACAGGCCGCATGACGTCAGGCGGAGCACCACACCTCGGGGTTGATTGATGGACCTGACGTGTTCGGGGGTCAAATGTTGAGCGGCGTGTCATTGCTCCATGTTGAAGCCATTCCATAATTGTGTAACTTTATGAAGTCACCGATGGCTACTATAAACACTTTTCTACGATGTACAACGTACACGCATATTGCAAGCTGCTGTAAACACTTGTACGTTTAACTTCTCCTTAACTCGGGTCAGCAAACGTTCTTAAAGTCTTAACCAAGTAAAAACTTGGAGTTTCTGGTTGACGGTATGTCAACATGGCTACAAGTGAGACATTTACTAATTTCATACGAAAAATCTTTTTTTCGCCATGGCGAGAATGGGCTAAGCAATGGACTACGTAATGTGCTGTGTAATGCGCTGTTTAAAGAACTATGTAATGGGATATGTAATGAGTTATGTAATGGGCTGTATAAATGGGCTGTGTAATGGGCTGTGTAGTGGGCTGTGTAATGGGGTGTGTAGTGGGCTGTGTAATGGGCTATGTAATGGACTATGCAATGGGATATGTAATGGGATATGTAATGGGCTATGCAATGGACAATGCACAAACTTTGTCCACGATCTGGTGACCTTTAGGTCATTGCAATTCTCGCCCAAAACACCCCCCCCCCTTTTTTTTTCCTGTGTGAAGAGGATCAACTTCATTGGCTACTATTCTCTCTCTCTCTTTCTTAAAAAAAACCATAAAAACAAATGGTTATTTCTCGCCACACGTCCTTTAACTAACTTGCTGAACAGCCGCACACCACGCCATTCTTTCGACACAACATGTAGCGAATATAAACGGTGGTAGCTTTATAAGAAATTGCTATCGGCGTAAAAAGGGGGGGGGGGCAACTCACCTGGTACTTGGAAGCTGTACAGCCTGTCCGAGACAGTGTTCAGTGGTATCTCCTGTTCTATGTCAGCGTCCAGCACGACTACAACATCGTCCTCTGCTGGCCGTTCGAGTAGGATGAACACCTCACGGTCTTCCTGAAAGCGTGGACAACAGAAATGTCTGGTGATTGGTGCGATGGTGATGGCATGATGGTATAACATGATGACAGGAGGAGGATGGTTGTGGAGGATGGTTGTGGAGGATGGTTGTGGAGGATGGTTGGCTGGTGAAGGATGGTTGGTTGGTGGATGATGGTTGGTTGGTGGAGGATGGTTGGAGGAAGGTTGTGGAGGATGATTGGTTGGTGAAGAATGTTTGGTTGGTGGAGGATGGTTGAAGGGTGGTTTTGGAGGATGGTTGGCTGGTGAAGGATGGTTGGTTGGTGGAGGATGGTTGGATGGTGAAGGATGGTTGGTTGGTGGAGGATGGTTGGAGGATGGAGGTGGAGGGTGGGTGGTTGGTGGGGGGTGGATGGTTGGTGGAGGATGGTTGGTTGGTGGAGGGTGGTAGTGTTTGGTTGGAGGGTGGTTTTGGGGGATGGTTGGCTGGTGAAGGATGGTTGGTTGGTGGAGGATGGTTGGATGGTGAAGGATGGTTGGTTGGTGGAGGATGGTTGGAGGATGGTTGTGGAGGATGGTTGGTTGGTGAAGGATGGATGGTTGGTGGAGGATGGTTGGTTGGTAGATGGTGGTAGTGTAAGATGGTTGGTTGGTGAAGGATGGTTGGTTGGTTGAGGATGGTTTGGTGGAGGATGGTTGGTTGGTGGATGATGGTTGGTGTAGGATGGTTGGTATAGGATGGTTGGTGGATGATGGTTGGTAGAGGATGGTTGGTAGAGGATGGTTGGTTGGTGGAGTATGGTTAATTTAGGATGGTTGGTTGTGGAGGATGGTTGGTAGAGGATGGTTGGTGGAGGATGGTTGGTTGGTGGAGGATGGTTGGTTGGTGGATGATGGTTGGTGGCGGATAGTTGGTTAGTGAATGGTGGTTGAATAATGAAATAATAAATTTGAGTTTGGATATACCCAATGGTATGATTGACTTTGAAAAGTTGATATAGAAATAATCTTATTAGATGCGAACTAAGAGAGTCCTAGTTATGGATGTCATGTCGTTAGATGTGCACTAAGAGACTCGTAATTAAATACCCAGGGGAAATAAATGACCCCCCCCCCCCCCCCCCCCCAAGCAACCAATTCATCAACATTCTGCGATGTCAGTCAAGGTAGCTAGTTCAACTTCTCCTCCTGTATAAAAAATTAATAATCAAAGTCCTAAATTCTTTGACCCCCTTTCAGGTGCAAACATCTCTGTTTAAGTTCGGAAATGGATGGACGATCCGTTCATTACGTCCACACATCCATCATCGGGGTAGCGAGGGTAGAAGGGCACATAACCGCTGTAACATTTGCCGGTATTACTAATATTAATCGGAATTAATGTAGATATCCATTATGACTATGTCTTTTCACATACAATATGTAGCGCAAATCTGTTCAAAATATTTATTAATTCGCCATAAGAATTCTAGATATCCCACCCCCCCCCCACACACACACACAATTTTTTTTCAATTTTATTACTTTTATAAAACTGTCACACAATCACATGAGTGGCTGGTAAAACTGTCACATATTCACTGCCATAGACTAAACAAACTAGGAAATAAATCGAATATAAACACGACATGATTTGCACTAACTTTATGGAAACTTCAAAGCCATGAATTCAGTCTATCGAAACAAGTGATCTAAGCTCAATACCTCGCGAAACTTTTGATCTACTCCCACACAAAACTCTTGATCCACTCCCACACCCAAATCTAGATTCCCTCCCACACCAAACTCTTGATTCACTCCCACACTAAACTCTTGATCCATTCCCACATCCAACTCTTGATCCTCTCCCACACCCAACTCTTGATCCACTCCCACACCAAACTCTTGATCCTCTCCCACACCCAACTCTTCATCCATTCCCACATCCAACTCTTCATCCACTGCCACACTCAACTCTTCATCCACTGCCACACTCAACTCTTGATCCACTGCCACACTCAACTCTTGATCCACTCCCACACACAACTCTTGATCCACTCCCACTCAACTCTTGATCCACTCCCACACCAAACTCTTGATCCACTCCCACACACAACTCTTGATCCACTCCCACACACAACTCTTGATCCACTCTCACACACAACTCTTGATCCACTCCCACTCAACTCTTGATCCACTCCCACACCAAACTCTTGATCCACTCCCACACACAACTCTTGATCCACTCCCACACAACTCTCTACCCACTCCCACACCCAACTCTTGCACCACTCTCACACACAACTCTTCATCCTCCCCCACACTCCATTCTCACACACAACTCTTGATCCACTCCTACACCAAACTCTTGATCCATTCTCACACACAACTCTTGATCCTCTCCCACACCCAACTCTTGATCCATTCTCACACACAACTCTTGATCCACTCCTACACCAAACTCTTGATCCATTCTCACACACAACTCTTGATCCTCTCCCACACCCAACTCTTGATCCATTCTCACACACAACTCTTGATCCACTCCTACACCAAACTCTTGATCCATTCTCACACACAACTCTTGATCCTCTCCCACACCCAACTCTTGATCCATTCTCACACACAACTCTTGATCCACTCCCACACCAAACTCTTGACCCCCACCACACACACGTAACTCCTGATTCCCTCCCACACAAAAACTTCCCGGTTTGCTCAGCTTAATTGAATGTTTGACTTGCCAAGAATGTTGAGATAGGCCAGAAGGGAAGGGCGTGGGTCATGCTGATGGCTCTGTTGAAGTGACATTGACAACATTGACAAACATCTTAATTGTGTCGTTGTGTCTATATGACTTGTATATGTTTATGTGTGTGGGTTTTATCCGCCGGTACAGAAGTTCATTATGTACATCGGTACACGGGGTTCCCGATGTTCTGACTACTCATCTACATGGTGCCTGGGAACATACACCCTCTATACATGGTGCCTGGGAACATACACCATCTATATATGGTGCCTGGGAACATACAGCCTCTATTCATGGGGGCTGCGAACATACGCCCTCTATACATGGTGCCTGGGAACATACATCCTCAATATATAGTGTCTGTGGGCATAAATCCTCTATACATAGAGTCTGTGGGCATAAATCCTCAATACATAGTGTCTATTGGCATAAATCCTCTATGCATAGTGTCTGTGGGCATAAATCCTCTATACATAGTGTATGTGGGCATAAATCCTCTATACATAGTGTCTGTTGACATACACCCTATTTACCTTGGTCTTGGGGATATATAATCTCTGTACATTGTTCCTGGGAACATACACCCTCTATATATGGGACAAGTGGTCCAATGTCATTCTACACATGGGGCAAGTGGTGTGATACCTCTCTACATGGTGAAAAGAGACTGGCGAAACCTTCCAAGCCTTACATTTATTGACTAATATTTATTGCATGCTGTCGTTCCTAAGAAAATGGCGGGCTATTTGCTCTGTACACATTCGGGGATCTATAAGATATTTCTTAATCATCTCATTTAGGCAAATCCTGAGCTGGGTCAGGTCATAAATTACTCTATTTGGTAGGACTGTAGGACTATCCTTTGCAAAAATAACTGAACCGTGGGAGCGCTACCGGTAGGACCAACTATTAGAACTGGACCCAGGCAGAGCTACCAGTAGGACCAACTATTAGAACTGGACCCAGACAGAGCTACCGGTAGGACCAGCTAAGCTCGGCCCTGTGGTAGCTCCAGCCAGACAGTAGCTGAGCGGAGCTTTGTGGGGTGGAGGGCCTTGGGGAAGGCTGGGGGGGGGCTTTGGGGAAGGCTTCGGGGAGGCTTTGTGTGAGGGGGGAGACTTTGGGCAGGGGGGAGGTTGACTGAGCTTCATAACATGTTGGATTACTTAATGATCTCGTATTTCATATACTCGATAACAATAATTACTCAAACTTTCATCTCTGGCGTTTATATCATAGGATATTTATTAACAAACAGCACGCATCTGAGACAAATCAAGTTCAGTATTCGATTGCACGACCCACCAAAACCACTAGCTGAGGTCGGTGACATAGTTCAGGGTTTTATGTCATGACATAGGCACGTTGTGGATGAAGGACATAGTTGTCATACCAACAAATACAGACGGCCTGTCAAAAACAATGTCAAAATAGAGCATCAGCATTACGCAATGTCTGACTGTGTAACCCCGACTTGAAAATATCCCTCTACCTGTTGTTTCAAAACACCAGACAGCCAAAAAATAGCATGGCTTACTGAGGCTACACTGCAGGAAAACAGCAGAACATTATCAAAAGATTTAACGGTNAGAACTTCAATACAACAATGGGGCAGCACAAAAAAATAAGCAAAACTAAGTACTTACCCACACCACCAAAAAAAAGTAAATAATAAATAAATAATAAATAAATAATAAATAATTAATAAATAATTAATAAATAATTAATAAATAATTAATAAATAATTAATAAATAATTAATAAATAATTAATAAATAATTAATAAATAAATAAATAATATATACATTATAAATAAATAACAAAATAATAAATAAATAATAAATAAATAAATAAATAATAAATAAATAAATAATAAATAAATAATAAATAAATAATAAATAAATAATAAAAAATAATAAATAAATAATACATAAATAATACATTTTAATAATAAATAATTAATAAATAATAAATAAATAATAAATAAATTTTAATAATAAATAAATAATAAATAAACATATTTTCCAGTGCCCACAACTGGTCAATGCTAACAAATACAACTTTTAAGCGATACCGCATTTCGTTGGACCAGCGAATCACGTCCAACACTACATAGTAAAAGCTAGCAATAGTGTGTCTACTAACACCATTGGTGTCTACTCGCAACGGTGTGTCTACTATTTGTATCGTCCTTTGGTGTGTAGCCCCAAGCTAAGTGCAGTGTAGCAAGTGCTGGACGTTGATTAAGGTAGCCTACATTAACCTCTGTTTATGCCTTCGCATCGCGCTCAGCGTAAATTGAGGTCTAAAAAAAGAGGGATGAATTTGTTTGCTCCGAACAAAGATAGTCTACGCCGGCAAAGAAAGTGTTCTCAAAATGATGAATACACGACGGACCTCTTGAATTTCTGGGTTCACAGAACCTCATACCTCTAACAAATAACTTTTTTCAATAGTTTCAAACTAAATAAATTGTTTAACAAACTTGTAATTTTACAAATGCTAAAACATCCACCGATCACCAAATGCTAAAACATCCAACGATCACCAAACACTAACATATCCACCGATCACCAAACACTAACATATCCACCGATCACCAAATGCTAAAACATCGACTGATCATGGGTATCGAAGAACCAAGTCAATAAATTATTCAACAAAACACCCAAATTGCTTGTCTCAAATACGGGCCTTAATATTGTACCTGTATCTATGTTTGTTGATGATTTATTTGAAAATACTTTGAGTTTTCTGTGTAATTCTGTATGGATTAAGAAGATGACTTGTAAACCCGAGTGTCGGTGAAGTGTGAAGATGACTTGTAAACCCGAGTGTCGGTGAAGTGAGAAGATGACTTGTAAACCCGAGTGTCGGTGAAGTGAGAAGATGACTTGTAAACCCGAGTGTCGGTGATGTGAGAAGATGACTTGTAAACCCGAGTGTCGGTGATGTGAGAAGATGACTTGTAAACCCGAGTGTCGGTGATGTGAGAAGATGACTTGTAAACACGAGTGTCGGTGATGTGAGAAGATGACTTGTAAACACGAGTGTCGGTGAAGAGAGAAGTTTCAGACCTAAAGTAAACCGCATGACTCTGCATAAAAGTATCGAGTGGCAGTGTGGTGTCCTGGCCTCTATCTGGATGTAAAACAAGTTTACCAAAATGTCAAGCGTAGTTTAACAAGTTATGAATTTCTCATATACCCCACTAACACACTTGGCTCATATACCCCCACTAACACACTTGGCTCATATACCCCACTAACACACTTGGCACATATATCCTACTTACACACTTGGCTCATATACCCCACTAACACTTGGCTCATATATCCCACTCACACACTTGGCCCATATACCCCACTAACACACTTGGCCCATATACCCCACTAACACACACACCCACTGATGCCATTTAGTCCTTTAATATCAACACATATTCTATATGAAACAACCCGGAAGATTGTTGTCGTCAGCGTGGGTGAGACCAAATAACTCTTGTGTCTCTAACACATAGACAGCGATGAAAAGAAACCAGGCTTCAATGAAATAAAGACGTTAATGAGGTTAAAGAAATGGGACTTTGTCATCCTGGGAAAACTCCCAAAAACTGATGAAATAACCCTGAAAGTAAGAACATGAGACTTCTACCTCTGATGAGATAAGCATGAAAGTAAGAACATGAGACTTTACCTCTGATGAGATAAGCATGAAAGTAAGAACATGAGACTTTACCTCTGATGAGATAAGCATGAAAGTAAGAACATGAGACTTTACCTCTGATGAGATAAGCATGAAAGTAAGAACATGAGACTTCTATCTCTGATGAGATAAGCATGAAAGTAAGAACATGAGACTTTACCTCTGATGAGATAAGCATGAAAGTAAGAACATGAGACTTTACCTCTGATGAGATAAGCATGAAAGTAAGAACATGAGACTTCTATCTCTGATGAGATAAGCATGAAAGTAAGAACATGAGACTTCTATCTCTGATGAGATACGCCTGAAAGTAAGAACATGAGACTTTACCTCTGATGAGATAAGCATGAAAGTAAGAACATGAGACTTCTATCTCTGATGAGATACGCCTGAAAGTAAGACCATGAGACTTTACCTCTGATGAAATAAGCCTGGAAGTAAGAACATGAGACTTTATCTCTGATGAAATAAGCCTGGAAGTAAGAACATGAGACTTTACCTCTGACAATTCCCGAGGAAACACCTTGACGATGCCATTCCGCTGTTTCGGTGACGGGGGGATGAGATAAATATCCTTCTCATCTCCGTCTTCATCACAGCCAGTTTGGTTCTCGAATGCTTGAATAATACTTAACATTGCGTCACAGATAGACTTATCCGAGCCGTCTATGACGCACATGGAGCACTTAAAGACAAAGTCGCTCTTGTCCCGGAAATAGGCCCTGGTCTCCTCGATCTCCACGCCGAGGAGCAGGAAGACCGAGCTTTTGGGGTTCAACGACGTCACGTCCACCGGGAACGGCCCGTCGGCCTCGAACACGTCCGGCGAGATGAACACGACGCCGGCCTTGCAGTTGCTGATGCAGTCGGAGATGCTGGAGTTTTCGGTGATGGCGTTGCGACTGCACCTGCCGCTGTCTCTGTTGTCCGCATCCTTGCCAGATTCGGCGTTCGGTTTGCCGGCGGAGTTGTAGTTACTGTGCGCGGCGCTGCTGGGAAAGGCCGCCGTCGTTAAAGTCTGTAGGTCTTTGGAGATGCTCGTGATGCCGTACTGGGGCGTGGCCAGGCGGGTGGAGAGGAAGTTGCTCCACTGCAAGGCGTCTGGTGAGTGAAGGATCAGAATGTAATCGTCTAGAGCCGCCATTGCGACCGGGAACCTAGAGATTGGGAACATACCAAAGTAGTATTAAAAGGGGCACTGGTTAAATTGCTATAATTTAAAATCCATAACTAAGGTCGTATTTTTGTTTTCACTAATCAAATAGAATAGGAAAAAAAACCCGATTTAAAAATAAAACCAAAGTAGAGAAATTCATTCTGTAACTAAAACAAACAGGCAAAAGCCTCTGACGTTGTAGATAAGAATGTTGCAAACACATGGTGCACACACATGGTGCACACACATGGCGCCCACACATGGTCCACACACATGGTGCAAACACATGGTCCACACACATGGTGCACACACATGGTGCACACACATGGTCCACACACATGGCGCACATTTCTGAGATGCAATGTTTCCAAAAACCCCACACTGGTAAAATTGACACAACTTGGATAATGCGAAATGATAATTGTATATTACGGAGACATCTTTGTGCTGTAATCACGTGATGCTGGCTGCTCCAGTTAAATCTCTGCATTAATTACCGGGCATACACACATCCACTTAAAATAATTATAATAACAACTGCACGATTGCTACTTTATATTTTCTGGATTAAGTAATATCTACCGTAGGATTGATTCGTTGCCAGCTAATTGATGCTCTATAAATAGAATCCGGTCTTTCATCGCTCCTCTTACAGGCTATTGATTATCGACGTCTAAAAATTGTTCTAAATTCATTTTTAAAAACGTTGATTAATTGTAGTGTCCACCACTGCAACGTTCTTGTTTCCTACTGTGTAGTGACGATTCCCCTCAAACGCTTCGAGACCTCTTCATTACACTAATTCGGCCGTTGTAAGCCGCGTTGACACTGCTGGAGACACCAACCGTGTCTGAACAAAAGACTTGTGTCTTACACAACGGTCGGTGACGTGATGATTGAATGAACCGAGTGCAACGACGGTAAAACGTTCGTTGCAAATGAATGCACTCGGGGTGAGCCTGAAACAACAGGGGGGTTGGGGGGTTTGGGGGGGGGAGAGGGGGAGGCGGGCGGTTCGTTTAAAGGAAGCGGTTATCAAACGTAGTATTTCATTAACCTTGGCACTGGAGTTTACTAATTTGCAAGGTTAAGCAAAACGAAAGGTCACCTCAGACCCGGATGCCGATGATACAAAATAACTTCCAGCTTTTCGTACAGTCGAGTTCTTGTTTTGTCTTTCTTTATAGCAAGCAGCATTTTAGACCCTTCAATTATTCAATGTCTTCCCTAATGGGGAATGAGCAGAACTAAACAAAGTGTCAGTAACATAATGACCTACGCATTGTGTCAATGAGAACTACAGTTATATGTTACGATTTGCTTTGGGGCTGTGTCAACTGTATACAGTGGCGTAGGAAAAGGGGATGCTGAGAGAGGGGGGGGGGCGCCGGTTCGTCCCGGCCGGTACTTTTTTCCCCCTTCTTTTTATGAAGTAAGTAGCCATTGTAAGATTTTCGGCAATCTGCAGACTTTTTTTTTTTTCCACGGTAGCGGCGGCAAAATCGTGAGCCGCATCGGCGGCACTAACCGCATAGCTACGCCACTGACTGTAAGACTTGTAGCTGATTTATTATTAACATAGTGTGACTAGCACTTTAAGCCAGCAAAGGGAGATGGATGATTTATGCAAATGTCTAGGGGCAGATTAGGAACACCAAAGCCATTGTGGAGGCGGACAAAAACACCAAAGCCATTGTGGAGGCGGACAAAAACACCAAAGCCATTGTGGAGGCGGACAAAAACACCAAAGCCATTGTGGAGGCGGACAAAAACACCAAAGCCATGGTGGAGGCGGACAAAAACACCAAAGACATGGTGGAGGCGGACAAAAACACCAAAGACATGGTGGAGGCGGACAAAAACACCAAAGACATGGTGGAGGCGGACAAAAACACCAAAGCCATTGTAGAAGCGAAAAAGTTTTGACCGCAAACAATATTTCATGATCAATACTACATTAAAAAATATATTTTTTATTTGTTTTCTGAAATCTGAAACTTAACCGGGACGTACACCAAATCCTTTCTACATAAGAAATCGACCAGATTGTGATGTTTAAATACAACCGCTACATTAATTGTCACAACCACGTGGTAACATCGAGTGATCAATGAATGAAGTAGTTCTACCACACCATTGTCTTGTAACATTAAGTGTTCTGTCACTGAACAATTTACACCACAACATTGTTTTGTAACATTAAGTGGTCTGTCAATGAACAATTTCTACCATAACATTGTCTTGTAACATTCAGTGATCTGTCGATGAACAATTTATAACACAACATTGCCTTGTAACATTTAATGATCTGTCGATGAAATTTTTTACATTGCCTTGTAACATTTAGTGATCTGTCAATGAACAACTTCCCCAACATTGCCTTGTAACATTTAGTGATCTGTCAATGAACAGTTTCTACAACATTGTCTCGTAAAATTTAGTGATCTGTCAATGATCAATTTCTACTGTGGATAAACTCACGAGTGCTGATCCATCGTCGATGGAGTTGTAGCGTTTAACATCGATAGGGCACGAGGCTTGTCCGAGTTGAAATGTTAGCTGTCAATGACGTACATTTACGAAACGTAAAACTTGTGCGTGTGTAGGATCCAGGTATTCAACAAAATTTCCCCCCAGTGTTGAGAGTGGCGGTGACCGACTGAACTATTTGTTGAAAGATCGGGTTTATATCAACATTTTTTTTACCTATAGGGGGGGCCGCGTCATGGGAAATCCCCTGCCAAGAAGAAAGACAACACGACTGCTATGTTGGGGGGGGGGGGTGGGGAAATTGTCATGCTTTTTATAGCCTTTTTAAAAAATCTGCTATTTGTAATCGAGATAATAATTCCTATAGGGGGGGCCGCGTCATGGGAAATCCCCTGCCAAGAAGAAAGACAACACGACTGCTATGTTGGGGGGGGGGGGTTGGGGAAATTGTCATGCTATTTATAGCCTTTTGACAAAATCTGCTATTTGTAATCGAGATAAGAATTACTGTCGTCAGCATGAAACGGAACGTAGTTCCCATGCTGTCAGAGCATGCAGCCTAGAGGGAGGAGAGGGAGGAGAGGGAGAGGAGAGGGAGGAGAGGGAGGAGAGGGGGGGGGAGAAGTGTCCGCATGCGGTGGATTAAGGCGAGAGATTTAAATCTGACCTTACAGACAGACACTCGAACTTCGGTTGTTCGTTTAAAGTTCTTCACCAACTAATTTTTGTTAATGTCTAGACTCCTATGTTTTTTTAAGAGTGTTATCTGTCTTTGCCTCATGTATTTGTCATTGTTATTTATTTTTTTTTTTTACATCAACCCCCCCCCCCCCCCCCCCCCCCCCCCTCCCCCCAATGTTTTCAAACTTGTTGTTTGTACATATGACACATTAATAAACCTAACATATTACGACACCCTCTCACACATTTGTTTACAAACATAACGGACGTTACAAACATATCAGATATACGACAGCGTTACATTAGTTGACCACAATGTTATTGTAAGTCGATGACCACAATGTCATTGTAAGTCGATGACCACAATGTCATTGTAAGTCGATGACCACCATGTCATTGTAAGTCGATGACCACAATGTCAATGTAAGTCGATGACCACAAAGTCATTGTAAGTCGATGACCACAATGTCATTGTAAGTCGATGACCACAATGTCATTGTAAGTCGATGACCACTATGTCATTGTACGTCGAGTCACGCCGAGGCCAAGACAAACGGGTAAATCTCTCGTGGGCCTTTTTTTTTGGGGGGGGGGGGAGAGAATTTGAAATGTTTGATGTAATTGTTTTGAAACTGATTTTGGGGGACCCAAAGAACTACAAACTGTTGTTAACACTTTTTAAGGACAACTACAAACAAATGTTAACACTCATTTTGGGACTTGTAGATGTTAACACTCATTTAGGGACAACTACAAACAGATGTTAACACTCATTTAGGGCAACTGCAAACGGCTGTTACCACTCATTTTGGGACCTGTAGATGTAAACACTCATTCAGGACAACTACAAACAGATGTTAACACTCATTTAGGGACAGCTACAAACGGCTGTTAACACTCATTTAGGAACAACTACAAACATATATTAACACTCATTTTGGGACAACGACAAACAGCTGCTAACACTCATTTGGGGACAGCTACAAACAGCTGTTAACATTCATTTAGGGACAACTATATACAAAAAGTTGTTAAAACTCATTTAGGGACCACTATAAACCGTTTCTCAACACTCATTTACGGACAGATGCCACGACCGTAGGTCAGGAAGTCTTGCATTTAATTAACGAGAATGCAATCACTCAATTAACTTCACACGGCGACCCCCCATTAGCTGCGAGACGTTTATTTTAAGCGTTGTGTAGCGAAAACGCATCAAACTTAAATAATTAAGCCGTGTCGTAATGCGGAGCGACTTCCTCACTTTGGCACCCCACGTCCTGGGTAAAAGCAAGAACAAAAAAAAAAGTATTTAAGACAAATAATACCTGAGATAAAACTGATGAACAGATAATTAATACGTTTTGATTAATCATTGTCATTGGAAGTTAATTAAGGCGCGAATTTTGATGACTTGCCAAGTGAGTCGGATGAAAACTATTTAAAAAAACAAAACACAAAACAATGCTGATGAACGACTGTCGGTTATTGTTGTCGACAGGGGTGTATTTACTGAAGCCCCAGTGTAACTATCGCCTTTGTGATATTCATGTATTTCCGTATAGCTATTTTCTTAAAGCCAGTGGCGTAGCAAGGGGCCGTCCGCTCCTGGGGAGAGGGAACTTTTTTTTCTTTAAATGCAGGGGCGGCGTTGTCGACGAACTGCAGAGTTTTTTTTTTTTTTTTTTTTTCGTGGAATGGGGGGGTAAAAATCTTAACTTGACTAACATCTCACTCAAATCAAATCTCTGCCACAGTCCATCACAGAAACCACATTCCGGCATTGTAATCTTCCAACCATTTCCTCTAACATCTCACTCAAATCAAATCTCTGCCACAGTCCATCACAGAAACCACATTCCGGCATTGTAATCTTCCAACCATTTCCTCTAACATCTCACTCAAATCAAATCTCTGCCACAGTCCATCACAGAAACCACATTCCGGCATTGTAATCTTCCAACCATTTCCTCTAACATCTCACTCAAATCAAATCTCTGCCACAGTCCACCACAGAAACCACATTCCGGCATTGTAATCTTCCAACCATTTCCTCTAACATCTCACTCAAATCAAATCCTGCCACAGTCCATCACAGAAACCACATTCCGGCATTGTAATCTTCCAACCATTTCCTCTAACATCTCACTCAAATCAAATCCTGCCACAGTCCATCACAGAAACCACATTACGGCATTGTAATCTTCCAACCATTTCCTCTCACATCTCACACAAATCTCTGCCACAGTCCACCACACGCCTCATAACGTTAAAAAATTCAAGCAACTCACATGTTTGCACGGCAGTTGTTGACGTCGTCGTCTAGCTACTAAACCACAATGGTAATAAACCCTACCAAGGACGGTACAGTGTAGATAGACAAATTAATACACTTCCGTGTGACTGCGAACTTCAAGTGGCCACACATACTCCGAGGGACACCATTTCGAAACCCCAAGTTCCTACATCTATGGTGTGCGTGTGTGTGTGGGGGGGGAGGGGGCGGCGGGCAAGGGGGGCGAGGATGGGGGGAAGAAGCGCCCTTGAAGCCTTGTTAGTTTCCCCCCAAATATCGGCCTTTTGGCCTGACTGTGTGGGTGATTGTGGCGGGGAGAGCAGAGACGACCGTGGGCGGCGCAGTCAGGGAAAAGCGGTCCGTTCAAACAGGGGGGCCAGTAATTGTGTAAGGAGATATCATAGGTCTCCGGGGTTAAATCAGAGATCTCTTGTTAATCCAATGGGACGTGGGTATTTATAAACTGCGGGGAAGTNAATTTTTGGGGGGGGGGGGGGGGGGGGGGGGGGCGGCGGGCGGGGGGGGCGAGGATGGGGGGAAGAAGCGCCCTTGAAGCCTTGTTAGTTTCCCCCCAAATATCGGCCTTTTGGCCTGACTGTGTGGGTGATTGTGGCGGGGAGAGCAGAGACGACCGTGGACGGCGCAGTCAGGTAAAAGCGGTCCGTTCAAACAGGGGGGCCAGTAATTGTGTAAGGAGATATCATAGGTCTCCGGGGTTAAATCAGAGATCTCTTGTTAATCCAATGGGACGTGGGTATTTATAAACTGCGGGGAAGTTGGACACCAATAATCAGTGGCGTAGCCAGACTTTGTGACACCTGGGGCGTTCTTTGAGCCCCCCCCACCCCACACATTTTTTTTTTCTCATTCACCAAAACTAATAAACAAATCTGAAAAGATCCTATAGTGTAGTGTTTATCCGTGACACCATCTTGTTCTGGTGTCTTGTGCCCATCAGCGATCCGAAAAACAACACACATTTGTCTTTAGGGCAAAAAATGCTAATATATAAGAGATAGTTTTCAAGCCGTGGGAAGTAAATAAATAGTGGAATAAGATATGTTTAGGCTGAAAAAAAAACAGAACAAATAATGGACATTTCGGCTAAATGTCTTCTTCAGCAGATAATTCTCCCCCTCCCCCCACCAAAAAAAAACACAAAAAAACAACAAACAAAAAACAACAAAAAACAACAACACCTCGATCTAATAATTATTTGAAACTAGGGATTAAACGGTTGCATTTTGTTGTGGGTTCAAGAGTTACTAAAAAAAAAGTTAATTTCTCATTTTCTATAATGTATGCTGGCCTTTAAACAATAGGCCTCCAGAGAGTCCTACAACCTACCTGCCGGAATTAAACAATAGTCCTACAGGAAGTCCTACAGACAGTCCTACAGACACTTCTACAGGCAGTCCTACAGACAGTCCTTCAGACAGTCCTACAGACAGTCTTACAGGCAGTCCTACAGGCAGTCCTACAGGCAGTCCTACAGGCAGTCGTACAGGCAGTCCTACAGGCAGTCCTACAGGCAGTCTTACAGGCAGTCCTACAGATAGTCCTACACCATACTTGTGGCTCTTTAATGATCAATAATAGCCGCCTCCCCTAAAGAAAAAAAATCAACCGTTTACCGGAGTTCAGCTGTCACGCATGAAGCTTTTTTCTCCGTTCAGTATTATTGACATAAAACACGTGAACAAAAATAATGTCACTCTTCCGCCCTTCGCTTTGCTACGCTACTGCCAACAATGAGGACATTGAGGACGTAAGTGAGGAAATTAAAAGAGCTTTGTAAGCATTCAATGATTATATAATGATAACACGATGAGAACATGATGACAACATGATGAGAACACGATGAGAACATGATGAGAACATGACGAGACCATGATGAGAAGACCATGAGAAAATGATGAGAAGATGATGAGATCATGATGAGAAGATGATGAGAACATGATGAGAAGATGATGAGAACATGATGAGAAGAGGATTAGAAGATGATGAGAACATGATGAGAACATGATGAGAAGATGATTAGAAGATGATGAGAACATGATGAGAACATGATGAGAACATGATGAGAACATGATGAGAACATGACGAGAAGATGATGAGAACATGATGAGAAGAGGATTAGAAGATGATGAGAACATGATGAGAACATGATATAGTTGAAATAAT